GATATGGTATATAAGAAAGTGAGAAGTACTATGGAGAGAAAACTAGGGTAGTGGGTGGGGGATGCAGGCCAGGGGGAAGGAGTGCAATTTAAAATAGGGTGGCCAGACAAAGCCATACTGAGAAGGTACCATTTGAGCAAAAAAAATGTGAGAAAGGGAGCCATCTAGATATCTGGGTGAAGGGGCTTCTATGGAGGGCCACACTGCATGAAGGCCCTAAAGCTTGTATTCTCTAGGAACGAAGCGGAGGCCTAGGTGGCAGCAGTAGAGGGAATGAAGGCAGAAGAGGGAGGGAGGGTCAGATTGGGTATGGTCTTGTTGGCTATTTTGAGGACTTGGGCTTTTATTTGGAGTGGGGTGAGAGCTGTCTCAGGGTTTAGGACAGAGGATGGATAGGATCAGATGTTCGATCTGGGTCCCTCTGGCTATTCTGTGGAAAAGAGCTTCAAGGAGGATGAGGTCACGCAGGGAGACTGGAGCAGTTTCCCACGAGGAAAGACAGGCTTGGGCCAGGAGGATAGCAGTGAAGATGGGGAAGAGTAGTCAGATTTTGGATCATTCTATTTTTTAGTATTTTGCCGTATCAGTATGCAACATTAACACAGTGAACCCCCATAGACAGGCGGTTCACATAGCTTTACTACCCGCCCCCCTTTTTTAAACATGTCCCGCTGCGCCATGCCTAAGCAAATAATAAATGAGTAGTAGAATTACATTTTCAGTATTGCATCTCGATACATCTTAAAAGCTTTCTAGTTCTCAGAAGACTTATCTGGGTCCTCTTTGTTCTTGGGACACACGATGATCCCATTCAACATTTTTGTTAATGGCCACTGACTAGATGACTAGAGGCCTTTTCTTCTTCTTTTTTTGTTTTTAATTTTTTTTTTATGAGCACCTGAGAAGAGAATTAAGATTTAGCAGTCATTTATTCCTATTTTTCATTCCATTGTTGAGCTCTTCTCAAAAATCAATTCAGGTGCTAAATGTATTGAGGGAAATGGTGGCTGAGGAAAATGTTAAAATATATTATCAGCTTGTTGTAACAGGATATAACGCAGGAACAGCCAGGTGGAAGAGATGCCTACGGCGAGGCATGGGGACACGGTGCAGAGTTTCCATGCCTGCTCTGCATGCGCCATTTTCCTCAAATCTCCACATTTCACCACCCCAGAAACTCCTTCACTGTATGTTAACATTTTGCCACATATGCTTTATTTTTATCTCCTATATTATTATTTTTATTGTTGTCATTCTTTTGTAGAGCTATTTCAGAGGCAGTTTTGCATTGTGTATCTTCACTCCTACATACTTTAAACATGTATTTCCCGTGACATTCTTTTTCATAACCATAATATATTTATCAAATTCAGGAAAGTTAATGTTAATTTAATACAATTATCTACTTTGCAGTCTGCATTCAAATTTTGCCATTGTCCCCATGGTTTCCTTTATAGCAATCCTTCCCCGTCTTCCAGGATCTATTCCAGAATCTCATATTGCATTTAGTTGTCACGTCTTTTTACTCTTTTTAAGATCCAGAAGAATGTTTCAGGCTTTCTTTGTTCTTCCTGATATTGACAAATTTGAAGAGTACAAGCCAGTCATTTTGCAAAATGTCCTCCTACAATTTGGATTTGCCTGATATTTCTTAACAATTAGATTCAGGCTATACATTTTTTGCTAGGACTGCCACAGAAATGACACTGTGTCCTTCTCCGTGCATCATATCTGGAGCCACTTGATGTTAGTTTGTCCCCTTACCGGTGATGTTAACTTTGATCACTTATTTAAGATGGTGTCTGTTAGATTTCTCCACCTTGCAGTTGCTACTTTTCCTTAGTAATGAATACATATTTTGTGAGGAGATACTTTAGAAATTGAAAATATCCAATATGCTATATGCAACCCCCCTTGCTGCCCTAATTTTACCCAATGGTTTTAACATCTATCTTTACCTGAATCAATTATTAGTTAGCTTTTCTACAGTAAAAGAACTTTCCCTCCTTTTCTACCTCCCTTCTCCTCTCCCTCCCTTCCTCCTTCACTCTATGTGTGATTCAGAAGCAATATGAACTCATGGGTTCTTTTCTTCCTCCCTTCTACTCTCCCTCCCTTCCTCCTTCACTCTATGTGTGATTCAGAAGCAATATGAACTCATGGGTTCTTTCTTCACTCAGTGCATTCATTGATCACTGACAGTATTAATTTTGATGCACAAAGGGTCTCTAGTTTGGCCAGGAGGAACTCCTTCAGGTTGGTTCCTTGTCCTTTTGACACATTACCATCATTCTTTGAGTACTTCCATACTTTCTGACGCAACAAGATGTTCCAGGATCATCTTGTACCTTCCCTGCCCCAGCTTTGGAATAAGCCGTTTTCCAAGGAGTCCTGATTCTTTTTCAGGAACCAGGTATTTAGAAGCCAAGATCTGGGTGTCAGGTACTCGCCCCATCTTGAAGGTAGAGATAGAAGAATTTACAGATGGATTGGATGTAGGGTATAGGAGAAAGAGAAGAATACCTATTCCCTTTAGCTTTTTTAGACATTGCTTCTCTAAAGTCTTCCCGGACACTCCCCAAGACTGAATCTAGCCTCTATTTTAGCAAGTATTCTATTATTTGAATTATTTACACACAAGCATGTCTTTTAATGCAGCATAGTAATTAAGTGTCAGACTCTGGTACTACTCGGGAGAATCTTACCCTTGGCCTTGGCCTTGGGCCCTTGGACCAACCTGGTTTTGAAGCTCATCTCCAGCGCTTGTTGGCTGTCTGAACCTCCACAAGTTTCTTAACTATTTGCCTTCTCAGTTTCTTCACCTGTAAACTTAGGGTAATAACATGTATCTCACAGGGTCGTTGCAAAGAATAAATGCTATATGAATGTTAAGTGCTTGGCACTGAGCCTGACACATTCTAAACGCCCGGGGCAGGTTACTTAACCTCTCTTACCTTGGTTTTCTCACCTGTAAAACTGGCTTGTCGTGAGGAATGGCTGGAACCACACACAGAGAACCTTTGGTTTTGTACTTAGCAAACTGCTGCTACCAGAGTTTTCTAAGAGTGTTTCCAGAATATTGCTCTTCTGTGATGTCTTGAGGGCAATGACCTCCTCTTTTTGACATTTTCATCATCTCTCCCTCTGAGCGAAGATCCATAGTCTGTGCCAGTCAGACCCTGTTTCTTGAGGTCTTCGTGCTAGAACCTGGACCCATCTACATCCTCTCAGGTCTCCCCAGAATTGAGGCCCCATATAGAGTTTGGGAACTTTGTCAGCAACAATTTGGTCGGAATGACAATTTTGTCAAAAATGAATTTTGCTTTGGTGATTTTTTTTTAAAAGATGGGAAAATTGGGAATCTTTGTGCAGTCTTACAAACATTTTTGTTGATTTTTTAGAATTAAAATAATTTCTTAACCTCCAATTGCTTTGCAGGCAATTATTCCTGCTTTTCTATTTGCAATAGCAAAATGTTGAAACAACCTAAAAGTCTGACAATGGAATAGTTTCCTTCCTTCCTTCCCTCTCTCTCTCTTTCTTTCTCTCTCTCTCTCTCGAGCGCGCGCTCTCTCATTAGGTCAGTAAAAAAAAAAGTACAGAACAATATATAATAATAAAATCTCATATAATGAAATACATACATGTGTAAACACTTTGTTATGTACGTCTATCTGCTGATGGTGGTATGGAACCTTTTCATTTCTTACTCTCCTGACTGTTGGAGAGTCAACCCATTGTGGCCCTGAGCATCCCCGCATACTCCTGCTAGTATGCCAAGAATGCAAAGTCCTGGCCACTCTATATCCAGGTTGTTTCTCAAGGTTGTGTTTGCAGTGAGTAACTCTGAAGGATGACATAATGTCTCCCTTCAGGACAAAGAGCAAGCTTGCTTACCACCTGCTTAAAAAGAGAGAAATTCTCCAAGCTCAGTGTTTGCCAGCTATGGGAAAAGCCCCTTTGTGACACCCTGTGGGACTGGGGGGCAAGGAGAACTGATGCAAACATAATGCTCCTGCTGCTTGTTGTGCAGTGACTAATGGATTCCTGTGTCTCTGACCCAGGAGTCTCATGTCTTTGTGTCAGATTTACTCGTTAGCTTGTGAGTTGGGTACAGTCCCAGGCCCTGACATCAGTCTGTTTCAGTCATCTGTCATGCACGTGTATTATTACTTTTACAATATAAAAATCAGTTTTCGTTATTTTAAAAGAAAAACAAAAAACAAAACCATACACACAACCAAAAATCAAAGCTTACAACGTAGAGGAAAGTCAGAAAACGAAGAAGAAAATAAAGAACCCTTATTCATACATATCTTAAGAAACTTGGTTAATACATTAATAGACATCTTTCCAGACTGTTTTCCATATAGATTCCCATATCTTTATTAGTCTTCTACGAAAATAAGATCAGGGTATATGCAGTGCTTAGTAAGTACCTTGATTTACTTGAGCACGCCACAACTGGGGGCTATTGTGGTGACCCCTTAGCTTCTTGAGAAGTCGTCAAGAGCTCATTGAAGAGCGCATGTAGCTTGCAAAGGCTTTCATTGCCCCCAGCAGAGTTGGGGGCTTCCTCTTGCCTAGTACTTCCTAGGAGCCCTTGGAGCAAGAAATGGTGCCACCCTGGGTCCTGGCCTAACAGCTTGGGGACCACAAACTCAAAGGAAACCACTCTCTCCTCCCATTTCCTCCCCTGAGCCCCTAGTTCTCAAGTGCACATTCCCATCACCCTGACTCTGATACCCCTCCCTATCTAAGCTTCACCTCTTGCCATCCCATTTCCCACCTAAGACCCAGGAATCCCCATTCCAGACTCCCTGCCCCCACATCCCCACCTGCCTCATCTGAGACCCCAGAGCCTCTGGCACCATCTCAGACCCTAGAAAGAGTAGGTGATGGTGCTCAACGCAGGGCAGCTGTGGGAACAGGGCGGGTGGGGCAGGATGCTGGGTGGGGTGGGTGGAGCCAGGGCCACTTCCTTTCCCCTTGGGGCCCCATCTGCTCAGTCCTGCCCCAGCTTCAGGAGGAGTTGGAGTGGCCTGGCTCCAGCCCTGTGCTCTTATCAAGTGAGCTGGTAAGGAGGTGTGGCTTGGTGGGGCAGGGGTCTCAGTGGACCTGGGAATGTAACTTTGGCTTGAAAAGACCCTGATAGATGATGAGAAAAGAGTATTAGAAGCCACTGGGGCTGAATATTGTCAAGGAAGGCCGGGAAGGGCGGCCATTGCTGGAATGCAAACTGCCAAGGCCTAGGGGACCTGTGAGATAGGGTTGGTGGGAGAGCTGCCAGCATCTGTGTTCTTGTTATTTCTGATAATAAAAGCAAGGGTGGAAAAAGCCGTTAAACCACAGGTTAGGCCTGGCAGCTGGCAGGGAAGTGGGCAGGAGGGAAGGGCCTGGTCAGGTCCTCTTCACCAGGTCCTTACGTGTTCCATTTCTCTAACTTCCCCACCCTCAGGTCCCAACTCCTAGTCATGGAAATGGCCCTGCTTCTCCTCCTCCTTGGGTGTTTCAGTGTCCAAGAGGTGAACACAGAATCTCAGAAGGATACAACCACATTGCAGACGTCCAATTTTACTTTGGCTTCAACTATCTTTGAGGCCCTAAACCTTAACTCAAGGACCTCCGACCATATGCTAACAACGGCCCCTGAGAAAAATGACAGCACTGGGCACTGGCTCTCCTCATCTTCCTCAATTCTTCATACAGCCAGTGATGTGTCCTCTCCTGAGACTTCCATTGCTACCAGCGGTGGCCTTCTTGTATCTGATTCAACAATCCCCCAGGAAGTTTCCACCGAGAAATCATCAATGCTCCAGGAAATCTCTAATGAAACCAGTAACCCTATTGTCCCGACAATGACCACTATGACTGGTGGAATCACGACAATTGGCTCTCTGGAGACCTTCGGTGGGACCGGTGGACCCTCTGTCACCGTGGCAGCTAGCTATTTGGAGACCTTAGACAAGACTGGTGGACTCTCTGTCACCATGGTAACTAGCTCTCTGGAGACTTCAGATGGGACTGGTGGACTCCCTGTCACCATGGCAACTAGCTCTCTGGAGACTTCAGATGGGACTGGTGGACTCCCTGTCACCATGGTAACTAGCTCTCTGGAGACCTCAGATGGGACTGGTGGACTCCCTGTCACCATGGTAACTAGCTCTCTGGAGACCTCAGATGGGACTGGTGGACTCCCTGTCACCATGGTAACTAGCTCTCTGGAGACCCCCAAGGGGCCCAGTGGCTCCCCCATCTCCAGGGTAAAAATATCCACCATGACTACCCCAGGAACCTCTGCAAACACAGGCAGTAGACTCTCCCCAAATTCAAAGCAGGGGACAAATAACAGCTGGCTAATGGCTGTAGTCATGTCCCTGCTTGTAGTCATTGTCCTCCTGGCACTGCTCCTGCTGTGGCGCCAGCGGCAGAAGCGGAGAACAGGGGCCCTGACACTAAGCAGAGGTGGGAAGCGCAATGGAGTGGTAGATGCCTGGGCCGGGCCAGCCCGGATGTCAGATGAGGAGGCTGTGATAACAGCAGGAGTGTCTGGTGGCGACAAGGCCTCTGGGGTCCCCGAAGGGGAGGGGTCTGGCCGGCGGCCCACACTTACCACTTTCTTTGGTAGACGGAAGTCTTGCCAAGGTTCCTTGGCACTGGAGGAGCTAAAGGCTGGGTCAGCCCCCAGCCTAGAGGGAGAGGAAGAGCCGTTGGTGGACAGCGAGGATAGGGCTATGGAGGCCCCTGCTTCTGATGGCCCAGAAGCGGGAGATGTGGAGGTCCCTTAGTGCTTGCGAATAAGAGGACTGGAGATCAGAGTCACTTCTAGCTTTCATCACCTTCTCTCCTATTGTCGCTTCCAATCTCATCATCACCCCACGTTGTCACCCAGCATCTTCACTCTGAATCCTCGTCTAGCTTCTAAACCCTGGAACTTCCAGCCAGCCTCCACACCCAACATCCACGCCCAGCACCGAAGCCAAGGCCTGTACCCACTGAATACTTGAAGACTGACTGAATGAAACTTCCTTATCAACCCCTACTTGTCTTCATCACCTTTTACTCTACATTTTTGTCCCTGAAACCAGATACCAAACTTCCTTGACCTATGATTGCTCAGAAGATGTCCCAGGGACACCAGAGTCTAGGAAGAAGGAAAGGATAATCCAGCAAACTCCCATCAGGGATTACTCTGGAAAGCTCATTTGGCTCCATAGATTAGGACTGTCTTACTGGGTCACTCTGTGAACCTCCTTTAACTTTGGGCTCCAGTGCTCTGTATCAGGCCAGCCTGGAGCTTGGGCTGGGTGGTGCCATCTAGATATGCTCTCAGGTGTACCTGTGACAGCACTAGGACTCTAGGCTAGCACATAGCCCAAGCTACCACAGAGTCCCCCACTTATGGACGGAGACAGCCAAAGGCTTCAGTTATTTCTCCTCCCAAAGGCAGAGGTGATAAGAGTTTTGGGGTGGGTGTCGTCTCAGAAGCCCCAGTACCAGCGTGGGTCCACTCGTGGGTGCAGCGTGTGTGCGAGAGACAAGATTTGGTGATGTTTGTGAAGGGTAGTGGTGAGTACAGAGGGCGTGAGTGAGGGTGCAGGTGGGGCTGCCGAGGCGGAGGACATGCCAACCTGAAGAACTGCTGAAAACATGTGTGCCCTCATCTTTGATCGGGCGGGGGCGGAGGTAGGAGATGTAACGCTGTAGCCCAATAAAAGGATGTCGGGCTTGATAGAAAAACTGCTTGTATGACTCAAGTGTGGTTCTTCAGCTCAGCCACTGTATCCTTTCCTCACAGCCTCCCCTACACATGAGGCAGCGGGGAGGAGACCTGGTAGCCAAGTCTTGGTGACACTCCACTACTACGTGTTTTATGTGTGTGTCTGTTCTAAGCTCCTTCCCTTCTCCAAGGGAATCAGTGAGAGTGAGCTAAACGAGGAGCTGCAACAAGCCGGCAGAACCAGGGGCTTTCCCTGTGGCTCTGGGATGGAGGGGAGGGAACACGATCCAGCTGGCTGTCTCAGACGCTAGCCCAGGTCAGAGCCCAGGGGGCCACATGGGGCAGAGGCAGTTGGTATTTCCCCAGGATAAAGAGGAAATTTGCAAAGAGGAAGTTGTTGAGTCACAGGGTGCAGTGGCTGAGGGCAGACAGATTGACCTACGAAGAGAGAGGCCAGTGGGAATCGTATGAGTGGGACTGCCACATGGCCTGGACTGGACGGGAGGCAGGAGACAGGGGAAGAGCCCCTATGAGTCAGATCATGAAGTGGGGGAGAGAAAGGTGGAAAGTGGCTACTATCCACCTGGCTACCATGGGCTTGTGCCTGGCCTGTGGGGAAGGGCTGAGCTGGGGTGGAAATCCAGCCTACACCAGCTGCCAGGCTGGACTCCCACGAGGCCACGTCTGGGTGCCTTTACCCAGCTGTTGAGACTAACTGTAGCCGCAGAACAGCAGAAGTAGTTCCAAAAGTCCCTGAGGGATACTGCAACTGTTGTCTTAGATTTGTCAGATCAAGTGCCCCAAGTCAGGTTTAGAAAATATTGTCACTGAACTTAAAGGCCATTAGCTTCACCTTGCTCATTCAGCACATGTAGTCATTTTCTGAACCATTATTGGTTTGTGGGTTCCAGGAGAATCCTTCAGGAAATGGGGTGAGGGTGGATAATGTACCCAATAGGGCTCTTTCAGTGCAGAAAATATCAAAATATGTGAAAAGTGTTCAAAGAGAGGTGCAAACAAAATTTATGAATGTACCAAAAGAAGGGAGAGACATGCTCCTGGGGGGAGGTTAGGAGGCTCCTACTAAGTTTCACAGGGTCTTTGTCATGTTCACTGCCATGTTCCTGGTGGCTGTTGTGCTGGCACATATTAGGTTCTCGGTAATATTAATTTGAATGAATGAATGAATGAATGAATGAATTATGACTCCTCAGAGATTTTGAAGGCTAAGAAGGATTTTGCCAGGCTGCAAACAGGGGAAGGGCACTCTTCAGAATCGCTAAGAAAAGTGTGAGCAACTCAGTGTAGATGCTTTTTTTGAAAATCATGAAATGAATACCTTAATTTCTCAGAGGTTGAAAAAAAGCAAAAACAAACAAACAAACAAACAACCAAAAAAAACCCAGGAGATATTGTAAGACCAAAAAGAAAAAAAAGAAAAGGGGGAAGAGAAACAATAAGGAAATATAAAACATGGTGGTAAGAGAAGATTATAAAAGCAATTGTAAAAACTTGCTAAAAATAACATTTTCAGTAACTACGTAACTTTAAAAAACTTTAAAAAATGTCTGCAACATAATGTTAAGTGGGAAAAAAAGTTAATCACTAACCTGTAAATATATGATTCTAGTTTTGTAATAAAAAGGCAAAAACATAGACATTTATAGAAAAAGTTTGAAGGAACTATCCCAAATTATTTACTGTGGTTATCTAGAAAGTGATAGGTTTATGGGTGATTTTTATTTTGTTTATATTTTTCTGTATTTTCCAAATTTTATACAATAAATATCAATCACTTTTACAATTATAAAAAATATTAACAAAAAGGTGTTCACTGGGGAGGTTGGGGGGTTAGATGAGAGTTGTGAGAGACGAGGCTGGAAGGGCAGGTCAGAGTCATTTTCTGAAGGGCCCGAGAGTTCTAATTCAGCTCTGGAAGCAGTGGGGAAGGTAGACCGTACGTCTATTTTACTCCGCTCTTTGGGGCCTCAGCAGCTGGTAAATGTAGGTATCCCCTGCTTTTTGAAAGTTTGAGTTAGCCACTTTACTATTACAAAAGACTTACATTAGTACTTGCTTCTGCTAACTGGAAGAAATTCGAAGAGAATTTTTGCTTTCACCAAAAAAAGGCAAAAAGTAAAAATAGCGTTCGGCGTTTGTTTTGCAGCAAGCAGTTATAGGGGCAGAGAGCACCCCAAGCAGACAGAGTGATACTGCTTTTACTATGTGTTAGTGTTATTTTAGATTTTATGTGTTATTTAGTATGATTTGGCAGGGTTTTTTTGGGTCTGAGGATGCTCAAAAAATTTTCCATATAAATTAATGGTAATTGCTTCTTCACCTTACCCCATCTGGGCTGAGGGAAGTTTCAGGACTACTACCTTCCGAGAACAGCTGAACTGTGCCATCATTAGACAAACACATAGAACCACCATCAAGCCTAGCTCTCTCCCTGTTCTTGCTCCCTGGTGCCAAGTCCAGGTGATTCTTCTTCAACAGTCCCTGAAAGCCTTTCCTTCTCTCCAGGCCCCATCACACCTTGCTTGGTCCAGCTGAGACTTCCTTTTTGGTTTCTTGATCTCATTCCCTTTCACTCTCCGCACATGTTGGTCCCAGCAACCCTTCTAAAATGCCACTCTGTCCAGTTTACCCCAGTACTCCCTAAGGCTGCCCAGATACAGCCCACCTGCCTTGCCATGGAATATAAGACCCCTTCTGGCCCTGCTTCTCCTCTGCCCACTGTTGCATGGCCAGCCCTGGAACCCAACACTCTAGGCCTCCAGCCTCATCAAATTCCTTGTAGCTAGTGCCCCAAACATGCCACGCGCTTTTCTTGGAAGAAGGGGATATAGTTTAAATTCCGAAAATATTTATTTTGTCCAGACAGTAAAATAACATTTTTTCTCTTTTGCAAAAGTTAATTGGTAGTACATCCTAGTTTCTTAGATAATGGGATTCACACACACACACACACACACACACACACACACACACACACACAATCATATACTGTTGTATTATTCTTCTTATATTTTAAAGTATATGTTTCTGGTTTATTTTCAAAAGTGCAAATAAATGATAAAGCTTTGTCATCCAAAATAAAAATTCCATATGGAAGAAGGATTTGCATGGGGAAGATCTTGAGAAATCTATTAATGCAATTCACTTTTGTAGAAAGAAAAAGGGCCTCAATACATGGTTCTAAGGACATTTCATTTCTGAAAATAGACATTTACACCTAATTTTCTCTTCATCTCCATTTTTTACCCTTGACTCTTAGTGAGTAGAACCTGGGACTCTGAGTGACCCCTGTCAGCTATGAGCACTTCAGCCCTTTCAAATTCTGAGAGTATTGGTTGAGGAGCCTACACATTGGATGACTGTCTTGTTCTGGGGAGCTTTGGAATAGAGACATTGGACAAATGAAACCCAGGGTATTTTGGAGACAATTTACTCGCTCCCAATAATAAGCTACAAATGGGTGCTTGTGTGCCTTAGCTCCCTAGGGTGTTCAGCACCTGTCTGCTCAGCTCGTGGCATCAGGACAGCCTAGCTGGACCGGTCCAGATCCCAGGAGGTGTTGGCTGTGGAGAAAGCCACTCACTCCCTCCTGCATTAGTGTGCGCTCTGCCTGAAGGCAGCCCACCCCCAGCTGGCCCAACAACACACACACATCTCAACTTCCTTTTACACTCCTCCTCCACTGTCAGGGTTCAGCGCAAATGTCACTGCCTTGCCAAGCCACTCTTGCTGCCTCCACCCCAAACGGACATAGTATTTCTCCTCCACTCCTGACACTCCTTACGCGACAGCACAAACAACTGGGCTGTAATTATGTGAAGGTGTCCCTCATTCATTAGAGTATAGCCCTTCCAAGTCCACGTGTCATCTTTGTGGCTCCAGAGTCCAGGGCTTGGCACCTAGTAGTTACCTAATAGGTGTTTACTTAATGAAGGGATAAATAAATTAATGAATGAACAAATGATGGTTTTTAAGTAAACATGTGGCAAGATCAGCTCTGTCTTTTGACAGAACTTGGTATCCAGGAGGGTGGCCTGAAGGCAGTGTGGCCCAAGAGGAGAGCATTATTCTCGTCCGAGTTAGATATAGTGGGAGCGTGGCCTAAGGTGAAAGGAGAGGTCAGGTCTGAAATATATTTTATTCAGAGAACAATATTTTAGAACCAGTTGGCTATTGAAGTGGTGGGGGAAGAATGAGGTTGGACTTTAAGGTTTCTATTTTGGGAGATTGAGGAGATACCAACATGATTATGTGGAATTGCAGAGAGGTGAGCAGTTTGGGGAAAAACATAATAAGTTCTTTTTTAGAAATGTTATAAGGGATGTTTGGAGATGGTTAGAAATAGAGACCTAGAACTTGGGAGGGAAGTCTGAGCTAGAGATATGAGTTTAAGACTCATCTGATTTTACATAGCAATTTAAATAAAGGTATAGATGAATAAATGCATGAACTATAGCATTCACTGTGTAGAATAAGAAAAGGAGAGATCTGTGAAGTGAATCTTTGTGTGTTCGTTAGTCAGGGCAGGTTAACTGCTGTAACAAACAACCCCAACACTCAGGGGTACAACTCAAGAGAAGTTTTTTTCCTTGCTTATGTGACAGTTCAATGCTGGCATTTGGAAGGTGACTTTCTACAAGGTCATTCAGGAACCCCGGTATAATGCAGGAGCCCCAGGCCTGGAACTTGCACCTGGGTCTGGATATTCTGGAAGAACCACCAGGAGGACCAGAGGGATGAGAAATGCCCTTTATTACTCACAAGGCAGGGAAGCTTCAGCAGCGGCTGGTTGAAGCTGCAGAAGTAAAGCTGCTGACCAAGAGCAAGCAGAGTTTTTATGCGCATGAGCAGAGGTAGGGGTTATCATTGGGGGAGCAGCTGCCTTCTAAAACAGATGAGAGCAAGATGTGCTGCTTGGCTACAGGAGCAGATAATGTCCACGGGAGCATCAGGAAACATCCTTGGGAGCAGGCACTGTTGAAAGCTCTGTGCACTGCCTTCCCTGGCTGCTGGCTGGGCAGTCGTCAGTCTTCTGAGTATGTGGAGGGGCTATGTTCTGAGTTAACCCTATACCTGGTTCCTTCATTTTGTGGCTCTGACATTCTTGGAAGGCAATGGGGGGGGCGTGCGGGAGGAGGTAGAGAGATAGAGAGAGACAGAGACAGACAGAGAGAGAGAGAGAGAGATCATAAGAAGACTTTCATGGGCCAAGTCTGGAAGTGGCACATATCACATTCCATGGGACGAAACTTTCAGTCATGGGGTGGCCTCAGTGCAAAAGAGGCTGGGAAGTTTAGTTTAGTTGTGAGCCTAGGAGGAAAAGAAAAATAGTCCCATCACTCTGGGGGAACAACAAAATTCGAGCGTTGGATGTAGGAAGAAAGACCTACAAGAGACAGTAAAGCACCTTTAAGAGAGAAACTTGGAGAAAATGATGTCTATGGAAAAAAGGGAGAAAACAGTTTGGAGGAAGGCAGTCAGGAACGGGCCTGGACTACAGTGAGGCAAGCAAGGTGCTGAGAAGCAAAACGGAACTTGAGAGTGCGGCCCCCTTCAGTTTTGCACCCCAGGACCTTCACTTGTTTTACCAGAGTCCCCGTCCTGGCAGTGTCGTGCTGCAGAGAAGGAACTGGGAGCAGACGGGGAAGATGCCCGTGGACTGGAGATCGGTGGTCCCTGAGGCTTTAGTAATGTAGACAAAAGAGGGCCACATACCAAACCTGACAAGTTCAGGGGAGGCCTGCATGGCGGGCCCTACAAACTCAGAAGCCAAAAGTAACCATTGAGGCCTGTAGCTTCCTTGACAAAGGTCAATCTTTACCTTAAATGAGACTGTCTTTTAGCATCTAAGAATATACCTTTGAAATGTCAGAGTAATCTTTTCCAGACTCCTCAGGGCACACCCATAGGCACCAGAGCAGGAGACCACAGAGCCCCTCATTGTCATCTTGTTTCCCATATCCCATCTCTATATGATGTAAATGTTAATTATTAACCATCCTGTACCCACCAATGCAAAAAAAGCGAGCTCTCTCTCCATTTTATTTTTTATCCAATCCCAGAGATTCCCTCTCCCGCCTCCTTAATCTACCACCAGTGACTGTCTAATCCTCCTTACATCTCCTCCTTTGATTCTAATGTGTAAAATAAAATAAGCTTAAAAACTGCCATTCTCTGGAGCATTTTCTCAGTCTGTTGAGATTTTGCTTCCTGGCAATTGTCGTCAGTTTGGCTCAAATAAACCCATTAAAATTCTCTACAGGTTTGGATGTTTCTTATGTCGACAGCAAGCAGTTTTCCATGAGGAAATGGAGCCCCGGCAGTTCTTGGACAGGAACTCGCCTGGCGTCCCAGTACAGGTTACTGGCAGTTTCCCAGTTCTCCCATTCCGAAGCTCCGATCCGCCCATGCCTCTAAAGTACATTGGGAAGAGGGAAAGGAAGGGAAGTTGACATTTGTTGTTTCTACTCTGTGTCACTCTGAATTCACTTGATTTTCCGTTGAACCCACGAGGTGGGTATTACCCCATTTTTCAGCGAAGAAAACTGAGGCTCATAAAAAGGTAAAAAGGTACTAGTGATCAAAAAGGGTAGAATTAGAATTTGAACGCAGGTCTAAGGCCCGATTTTCCTAGTGCACCATCAAAAGAGCTTTCCAGCCCTCACAAGGGAGCACATTCTTGCATTCCCAGCCTCACACACTGGGAAGAGCTGGGTTTGTGGGGAGGACCGAGCCTCTGGCTCAGAGAGGAGAGGACTTCTGAGATAGGAAACTGAGAGCTCCTCCTCTGAGTATAGAAAGCAGACAAGGCATGCGCTGTCCCAGGGGTCCTGGAAGAGGGCAAGAGGGAGCCCCAGAGAACCTGGGGAGGGCAGTCGGGGGCTGGCTAGACTGGCCCCGCCCCCTTCGTCCTCCGGCAGCCCCGCCCCCAGCTTCAGGCTTCTCCAAGCTTTAGATCTGAGCAGCTGACACCAGCTCGGCAACTCCAAGCTGCCATGGACCTTGAAGGTAAAGGAGTCCCGCGGTCGTCTGTCCCCTGTGTTCCTGCACCAGCATCTCCCCATTCCTG